GTGATCACCAGAGGCTCTTGCCATGAGCTGCCAAGGCTATAGAAGCCTTTTGTGATCACAAACTCTATCATTATTTATACAGGACCATAAGCAAAGTGGAAGTTTTCTCCTCCCTTCAGAGAAAAGTACAGCCTTCTTTGATAGTCCCTTCTTTCCACTGGTGTCTCACTCTCTTCTTATTAATGCTCTTGAAGTGGTTAAACAGCTTAACTCCTCTTTTGCTTTTGGCTCACACCCTTGTAATTCATTTTTTATATCTAAAGTGATTTCCTAAAACATAAATCCAACTACATCATTCTTGTGTTCAGAATTATTCCACATCCTGCCATCATTTTTTTCTAAATATTTTATTTATTTTAAAGGCAGAATTACAGAATTACAGAGATGGATGTGTATATGTATGTATATATATATATCTCCCATATATATGTATCATATATATCTTATATATATATATATATCATATGTATATATGAGAGAGAGGAGAGAGATGGATCTTCCATCCACTCATTCATTCCCCAAATGTCCGTAACAACCTGGGCTGGGCTGGGTCAAAGCCAGGAGCCAGGGTCCTTATTTTGGGCCCCCAACGTGTATGGAGGAGCCCAAGCACTCAGGCCATCCACCACTGCTTTTCCAGGCCATTAATAAGGAGCTGGATTGGAAGTAGAGCAACCGGGACACAAACCAGCACCCCTATGGGATGTAAGCATTGCTGGTGGAAGCTTTACCTGCTATGCCACAACATCAGCCCTGCTATCATTTCTTAATGCGGAGTCTCTTCCAGAATTACTTGGGGGTACCTGTTAAAAATGTAGACTTTAAGGACATTCCCAATGTCATATCTTGTATGATGCTGCATGCTCAGTACAAAAAACTCTGATACATAATGGGCCCTCAAGAAATAAGTGCTGAATGAATTAAGGAATTCTCAAACTGCACTTCAGTCCCAATTAAAGAATTCTTGAATTGTACCCAAATCAGGATCTGGAAAAACAGATTCAATATTTTATTAAGCTCCTTTTATCTAGAGAAAAATCTGAGAAGCCTTCACACATAGGATAGTGTCCACATTATGAAGAATGATGCAATATCGAAGGCCTTTCACAATTTGCACTCTAGCTACTTGACCCAATTCATGTTTTGCCACTCCCAAGCTTCGCCACACTGAGATACACTTTGATTTATCAAAGACATTGTTTATGAACCTCTTGGGCAGCCACTTTTCTTGTGTTCCATAATCCCCTGTTAGTTTTACAACTTAAGTGAAGTTCTTCCTCTCTGGAGCTTGCCAGAAATCACATGACCCCCTTTCTTCTAAGCTCCCATAGTACCTGTTCTACTTTTATAATATTAAACTATTAGTGTAATATTTTTATTTATTCCATTTCTGTTTTCCAGACTGCACCACGAGTTCCTCAAAGTCAGGAATTATATCTTACTGCTTTGTATCCTCAGAACCTAATATATTCACAGTAGGCAGTCTTATTCAAATATTTGTTGAACAAAAGAATAACGGAGACATCTGAAGAGGCAAGAAATTAGAGTTTATCTGTATTTCATAGGTTAGGGTAGGCACGTGGCACAGCAGTTAAGTTGCCATATGAAATGCCCACCTCCCGTATTGGACTTCCACCTACTCAGGTCCCGCCCACTCGGCTTCCAATTCAGCTTTCTGCTAATGTGCACCCTGGGAGGCAGTAGACAATGGCTCAAATATTTGGGTCCCTGCCCCCCATGTGGGAGACATGGACTTAAGTTCTGGGTTTCTGGTTTCAGTCTGGCCAACCACTGGTTGTTGTGAGCATTTGGGAAGTGAACCAGGGATGGAAGATCTGTGTCTCTCTGCCTTTTAAATAAGATAAAAATAAACAAAAAAACCAAAATCATAGGTCAACATTCTATGCTTTTTAAAAAACAAGCAAGCAAAAAATATGAATTTGGTTGCCCTCTGTTCTCCAAGACTTTCTCTAGGGCAAAGGGTCTCAATCTATTGTGAGCAGGTCTGAGGGTCATTGCAGGGGATCTGTAAGGTCAAAAGTATTTTTGTAATAATATTAAAATGTTATTTGCCTTTGTGATTCTCATTCTCTGAGGGTACAATGGAGAATGCTAAAGGCTTCATGATATGGGGAAATCACAACTGATAACAGGCAGAAAGAGATGAGAATCGAGCTTTCTTTAAGTAAGCCAAACATTGTGGGGATCTATTTGCAAAATGTAAAACCATGCCATGCTCTAAATTTTGAAAATATGTTATCTATGTTAATATGCAATGAGCTTATTTTAAAAAATAAATATTTTAGAATTTTTATTATCAAAGATTGTAACTACTAATAGATACAAAATTTAGAAAGCACTTTAGGGTTTCTAATTTTTTTTTTTTTTTTTTTTTTTTTTGACAGGCAGAGTGGACAGTGAGAGAGAGAGACAGAGAGAGAAAGGTCTTCCTTTGCCGTTGGTTCACCCTCCAATGGCCGCCACTGCAGCCGGCGCACCGCGCTAATCCGATGGCAGGAGCCAGGATCCAGGTGCTTCTCCTGGTCTCCCATGGGGTGCAGGGCCCAAGCACCTGGGCCATCCTCCACTGCACTCCCTGGCCATAGCAGAGAGCTGGCCTGGAAGAGGGGCAACCGGGACAGAATCCGGCGCCCCAACCGGGACTAGAACCCGGTGTGCCGGCGCCGCAAGGTGGAGGATTAGCCTATTGAGCCACGGCACCGGCTTGGGTTTCTAATTTTTAAGAGTGTAAAGGAAACTGCATTTCAAAAATTTTGAAAATCACTGTTCTCATCTTTCAACAAACTGATCAAATCATACAAACTGGTCTAATGCAATTAATCATTTAAAATGCAGGGAGAGAAATTCCTACTTCAGAAACTCTGTGATTCAGTGTCACACTTAGCTTACTTCCCACTCCCAAATGGCCAAACTTCTCTGAACATGCATGTTGACATCTTAGTCAGCTTTCAAACCTGAATATGCCACCTCTTCTATAAAATCCTTCCTAAATTTTTACAGCTGCATATGCTATCTGCCAGTTTGACCTGTATAGTATTTTTTCACATCTCTAATGGCCTTTTTTTTTTTTTTTTTGACAGGCAGAGTGGACAGTGAGAGAGAGAGACAGAGAGAAAGGTCTTCCTTTGCCGTTGGTTCACCCTCCAATGGCCGCCATGGCTGGCACGCTGCGGCCGGCGCACCGTGCTGATCCGATGGCAGGAGCCAGAGGCTTCTCCTGGTCTCCCATGGGGTGCAGGGCCCAAGTACTTGGGCCATCCTCCACTGCCTTCCCGGGCCACAGCAGAGAGCTGGCCTGGAAGAGGGGCACCGGGACAGAACCGGCGCCCCGACCGGGACTAGAACCTGGTGTGCCGGCGCCGCTAGGTGGAGGATTAGCCTATTGAGCTGCGGCGCCGGCCTCTAATGGCTTTTAATTTTAATTATCCATATACTTGTTTTTCCTTCCTATCAGAACATATGAAGGCACAGTGATTTAGTGTGGAAAAAGGCTACACTTTGTGGTCTAACACACCTGAGCTTGAATTCCAGTTTCCCTATTACTGAATCTGAGACCCTAGGAGACTTACTCAAATTCTTAGGGCTCCAGTTCCCATATTTTTTGAATGAGGACAACAATATCTACTCCATTGTCATCCCCACTGAACAGAAAATGTTTAGTACAATGACCAGCAGACAGTGGGCACCAACAAATGGTAGCTGCTACTATTAGATATCTGCAAATCTTACACCTCCAATCATATTATCTTCAGCAGTCAGGCACCATGATAAATCTTTCTTAAATTAGATTAATAGAAGCCTAACGTGTTACAGGACATTCTTTCTGAATCAGAAAAAAAAGTAGTTCAAATGCCAATCACAGTCATCTACTTTTCTGTTTTCAGATTTTTTTGCTAGAAAATACTAGGACTAGTTTCTGTTTCTATTCTTCTGAACTATTTCTTTTCCATTCTCTTAATTTCATAATATAAAGATGTCAATTGATTGTATAAAGCTACATTTTTGTGTACGCTCTTTCTTGCCTCTGACTTTTTCTAATCCACCATTAGGTTGTTCCATAAGCCTGGAAGGGTATGCTATTCCTTCTGAGACTGATAAAGAGATAATTTTCTTTCCATTAGCAGTGGTAACAATATTTTATTTATGCATCTTCCATCATATATATATCTCTAGCTTTTACAAATAAAATGGACTCTGTGGTTTCAGCATAACTTATACATATTTTAAATACCAGAGGCTTACTTCCCACTGATATTTCTGAAAATATCAGAAAACACATTTACCTATAAAAGATTTCTCAAAGAAGTTGATCCAAACTCACACACGCTGTCAATTTGTGACAGACCTCAGAGACATAAGAACCCCATCTTTGCCTTATTAGCAAAAATGCTAACTTTCAAGAATCATCAAATCTGAATTATTAAAGTTCAGAGTACTGTCAATTTCCCACTGAGCATAGTAAAACATGAACTATTGACAAGAGAAAAGCAACTGAACTCTTTGGAAAACTTCTGTTCTTGATTTTTAAGTACTTCTGTAACCAGAGTGGTAAAAATACTGCTCAAAGACTCAAGTTCCCAAATTTCCCTCTAAAAGTTCCTGGAATTCCTTCTCACTTAATTCACCAGGCTTTTCATTCTTCAAATCCCTGGATATAATGGGCGAGTGGCATACAATGAAAAGGATCTCAAGAGTTCTTTTTTAATCTTATCTGTTTCTAAATCTCCTTTCAGTCTGTGCAACTCGGTTATGCCAATGAGATGGGCAATGATCCCAACCTTGGATCCTGGGAAGATTACACAACATTTCCCAAGCATTTGCTCACCGCATAATCTGCATTCTAAAATGGCAGAACCAGAGCTAAAACATTGCTCCCTTTTGCCTAGTCTATGACTTCCAGACTTTCAGTACCCGTGAATTGCTTTTTTTTCAAGTGAACTCTCAACACCACCTCGAGTGCAGGTTTTAGGGAACTCTACCCGAATGTGATCAAACTCCCGCGAAGGGTGAAAGCCGAAGTGCTGAGAGTTCCAAGCAGAATGGAGATAGTCACAGGGACGCAATAGAAGGGAATTAAACAGCACGTGTCGCTAGGAGAACGGTGCCCTGAAACTGAAACTTCATCGTGGTGGGTTCTCCCAACGTCCGCGGGAACAAAGGGTCGGCAAAGAGGCGGTGCGGGGGCAAAGGGCACGGCGACTGCAGAGATGAACACACCTGGGGGGTCGGCCGCCCCGCTCCCCAACCCCAACCCCACGCCGGGCTAGCATCGCCCGGCCTCTCCCTAGTCGAGCAGAGAGCCCTTTCTCTCCCATCCCCTTCTCCCGGTGCTCCTTCCAAGAAACGCTGTCACCCACCTCCGAGGACCGTGCCCAGGAAGATGCATTTCTTTTTGTGACGTTTCAGAAAATTCCACGTAGATCTCAGCATCGTCGGGCCCCGGGTTGTGTGGGCTGGCTCACCGGGCCCCGGTGTTTCTTCGTCCCCCGGCCCGGGCCGCCCAGGTAGGAGATCCCGGGTGTCGCTCAGCGCGCTCCAGAAAGCACGAACGCCGACTTCCCGCAGAGGCTGTCACCGGAGCGGGAAGGGGGCGTGGACTACAGCCGAGCAGCTGCGCTTTCTGTTGCGGCCGCCGTGCCGCCGTCGCCGCTCACTGGGCCGGAGCGCTCAGGTCCGTTCGGAAATCGCTCCCGGGTGCCTTGCCATTCGGCTCCCTCGGAAACGCAGCCCGCGCCCGCCACGTTCCGCCACCAGCGCGCCGCCGCCGCCGCCGCCGCCGGGTCGCCCGGTGCTGAATGGAGGCGAACGCTGCGTCCACGCCCGCGACGGGCGGCGCCACGTGCTGCGTGTCCGCGGAGGAGACGGAAAAGTGGATGGAGGAGGCTATGCGCATGGTGAGGAGCCGGCGAGGGGGCTGCTGCGAGTGGAGACTTTTTCCCGCCCTCAGCCGGGACCTTGGAGCAGACGTCACTTTGTCCTCACCGTGATCTCGGTGACGCTCACGTTTTCTGGGTAGACAGCTGGCTTTGCTACCATGACATTTTCTGTAGCCCGTTCTCACGGTGGCCCAGGGGCAGCGTGGTGGCCCTGGTGTGGCGTGTCAGTCCCGCCGCGCGCCCTCACCCACAGTCATGGCGTGGGTGTGTGGGTCTCCGTGGGCGCAGCCGGGGAGAAGGGAGGACGTGGAGGCTCCTGGGTGGCCTCTGCACCCTGCCGTGCTTGCCCCGCCGTCCGCTCCCCGCCCGTGCTCCGCTTTGGGGTCGCCGGGCAAGGAGGGCTCTGCCGAAGAGGTTGGCGTGAGCCGGGCTGGGCGGCCTCCGCGCGTGCCGGGTGCTCCTGGAGAGGGAGCAAAGTTTTTCTGGCGTCGGTGCAGCCCTGGCTGGTGCCTTGTGATTTCAGCCTTGTGGGAACACCAGTGGTCTGGCCTCCTGCACCCTGAGCCCGTTGCTACAGCCTGGAGACTCTAGGCTGTTGCAGCACCGGGGTACTCGTGTATCTGAACAAACCGGGACGTGGAAATGCTACGGTGGAGGGGATTCAACACGGTGCGCGTATACGGGGTTATCCTAGTCCTGGATGGAGTTTGCAGCCCTGGAGAGTGAGCCGCGAGTCCCTGTGGATGCTCAGCCCCTCCCTGTCCACTGCTGCAGACTTTATACTCACTGCACACTGAGGCTACACTATGCTTGTAAGATTTTTCTTTTATTTTTAAGGTTAATATATCAAGCTTAGCTCACTGTAACTTTTTTACTTTATAATCTTTAGGTTTTTTGTTTTTTTTACTCTTTAGCTTTTGTAGTGACTTTTGGCTTTATGTTTATAAATACTTTGTGCGGCTGCACAAAAAGTCTTCTCTATATATCCTTCTTCTGTGATTTTTTTTTTACTGTTTTACTTTTAAACCTTTTTTGTTGATAACTAAGACACAAGCACACATATTAGCCTCGGCCTACCCTGAGGCAGGATCACCAGCATCTCTGTCTTCCACCTCCACATCCTGTCTCACCAGAAGATCTTCAAGGGCAGTAACATGCACAGAGCTGGCGTCTGAGATAGGAGCATTTTCCTTGAGGGGCCTGCCAGAGGCTGTTTTACAGTTAACTATTATTTTCTTAATAAGCAGAAGGAGTACACTCTAATAAAAAATTTTAGTATATTAAACTCATAAACCAGTGACATTGTCATTATCAAGTATTAGGTACTGCACGGAACTGCATGTGCTATACTTCTATGACTGGCAGCACAGTAACTTTGTTTATAACAGATCACCACAAACATGGGAGTAATGTCTTCTATGCTGATATTAAGCAATAGCAGTTTTATTTTTTTATAGCTCCATTGTAATCTTATGGAACCACAGTCTGTCATTGACCAAAATATCATGTGGCACATGACTGAATATGAATATATATGTTATACACATATACATATTACATATGTGCATTTCTATATAAAAATGTATGGGATGGTACTTCAAAAAGTTCGTGAAAAATGGAATTAAAAGGTAAGTTTATTTTTGTTCAGGAAAATTGAAATCCACGTATAGTTATTCATAATATACATTTTTTGTGAATCTTTTGAAGACCCTTTGTATGCATGAATTTCCAAATGTTTTTCCCACCAGAATAAACTTATCTGGCAGTTCCATTTCTGATGAACTTTAAAGAAAATTATTTTGGGAGGCAGAGAGACATGGAGAGAGAGAAAGAGAGGGCTCCCATGCCCTGGCCCACTCCACAGATGCCCTCAAGGGCTAGAGCTGCACTGGGCCAAGGCTGGACTGGTCTGAAGGTGGGAAGCAGGAAGTCAATCCAGGTCTCCCACATGGGTAACAGGAACCCAGTTTCTTGAGCCATCACCTCTGCCTCCTGGAGTTTGCATTGGCTTGTAACTTTATTTAAAGTTTAGTAACTTTATCAAAGAATAGCAACAACAAAATAACAAGGACATTACTTTTCACCCATCACATTACCAAATATTATAGAATAATTCCAGGGCTAGTGGGAAGAATAGGACAGAATACTTCTGTATAGTGGGGATGGAACTGTGACCACTACAGAACTGTGCTGTCCAGCAGAACCTTTTGCAGTGATGGAAATGTCCTTGGGTCTGGCTGTCCAATTCAGTAGCCACTGGTGACATGTGGCTTCTGAGTGCCTGAAGTGTGGCTGATACAACTGAGGAACAGAATTTAATTTTATTTCACTTTAGTGCATTTACATTAAATAGCCAGCATGTGGTTAGTGGCTACTGTGTTGGGCAGCACAATGTTAGAGGACAATACAGCAGCAATACCTAAACACTCATATATCCTCTGTCTCACTTATGGGTGTCATTCATTGTAATAAAGTACTATAAAGAAATAATAAGAAACTGAAAATGAAAGCATTTAAGACTATAAAATAACTAATAATCAAGAAAGAATGTATAATTCCATTTATGCAAAAGCACACAGATATGTGACTTTTCCACATGGACAGACCTATGGAAGGCTGCCCTCAGAGTGTCAATACTGTTATCTCTGATAGTAGGACTGCTAGGTAGTTTTCACATCTTAATAAACATTTTTATAATAGGAATATAATATAATAGGAATATAATAGGAATATGAATTACAATATCCTGGAAAAAATTAAAATGTTTTCATTTTGAAAAAAAAAAAAAACAAGAAGCCTATTACCAGGTCATTATGTTTTTCCTAGTATCTGTAATGATTTTGATAACAGTATACTATTTAAACAATAATGCACCACAATTTAATTAACCATTTCTCTTTAATGAAAGTTTTAAATACTTTCTGTTTTTTATGGTTATATATAAAATTGGAATAACAATCATTATCTTTCAGTATCTTAATCTGTTTCCATAAGTGACCATCTTACTGGGTCAAATACTACAAACATTTTTGGAGGCTGTTATTTGTATTATGCTAGTTGCTTTTCAAAAATGTACTGGTTAGACTGGTAGAACTGTATTGACCTTTGTCTGCTGTCATTTGCTTTGGATGATATATATCTTAAATGTTTAGTTTTATCTACTTGAAAGGCACAGTAAGAATGAGAGCATGAGCAAGAGAAAGAGAGAGCAAGAGAAAAAAGGATCTTCCATCCACTGATTGACTCCCCAAATTCTAAATGCCAGGACTGGGTTAAGCCAAAGCCAGGAGCCTGGAACCCCTTCAGGGTCTCCTACATGGATGGCAAGGAGCCCAAGAATGTGTTAGTAGAAAGCTGGATCAGAAGTCAAGGTGCTGGGACTTGAACTAGCACTTCAACATGAGATGCAGACCTCCCAAGTGGCCAGCCAACCCACAGTGCCACAATGCCCACCTTTAGGTGACACTATTTTATTAGAATTTGAACTTTCTAAAGAACATTTTCCTTTCTTTTTATGACCTAGCATATGATTTCTTCCTTTTTTAGTAAAATAAAGAGAATAGAAATTTTCTGGTGCAACCCTTTTACTTTAAACACACAAAGTGGGATCCAGAAATTATGTGACTTGGCTGTGTTCACCTGCCTGCCCCATCAGAAGCAGCCATTCTAGTAATTTATACTGGACAAATAAATATGTCTGCTATGCACCTGTGCCAGCAACCTCCCTAATACACATAACACTGGACATTTCACTTCCAAATTCTCAGGATGAATTAATCAGAGATTACCTTCCTGCCTGAATTTGACACTAGTTATGCTTCTGATCTTTAAATGTTCTCAGAAAACATGATTCTTCAAAGTATGAGTGACTTAAGGTTTGAAGTTTCTTTGAGGGTTGGGGGATCGTTGAACAAAGAACCAGATTTATGATAAGTACTTTTTTCACTTTGTTTGAGACCTAGAAGAAACATGGGCAGGCCAAAACCAAAAAAGCAGGTGGTAAATAAAGGCTTCCTTAACTCTGTGTAGGAGGAAGTAAACTGTCACCACACCTCTAAGGTGTTTATAATTCAACACGGCCGGCGCTGCGGCTCACTAGGCTAATCCTCCACCTTGCAGCGCCGGCACACCGGGTTCTAGTCCCGGTCAGGGCGCCGGATTCTGTCCCAGTTGCCCCTCTTCCAGGCCAGCTCTCTGCTGTGGCCAGGGAGTGCAGTGGAGGATGGCCCAAGTGCTTGGGCCCTGCACCCCATGGGAGACCAGGAGAAACACCTGGCTCCTGCCATCGGATCAGCGCGGTGCACCGGCAGCAGCGCGCTGGCCATGACGGCTATTGGAGGGTGAACCAACGGCAAAAGGAAGACCTTTCTCTCTGTCTCTCTCTCTCACTGTCCACTCTGCCTGTCAAAAAAAAAAAAAAAAAAGGTGTTTATAATTCAATTAAGAGACACAAATGTCAAGGCCAGAGGAGTAGAAATTCTCTGAGGCACAATCACCTCACTTTACAGAGTAGGAAGGGAAGCTCTTAGAGGGATGAAGTGATTTGCCCCCAGTCACACCACAAGGCAGTAAAAGCACTTACATAGTTCAGAGTCTACAGGTGTTGCACAAAATATTCCTAGATATTAGTACCAAAAGATGCCTAAAGGGAGTTGTCCAATTAGCCTGGCATTTGAGTCTGGTTAAGACAGGATCCCATATAGGAGTCCCAGAGTTCCATACGTGTTTCCAGCTTCTAACTCCAGCTTCCTGCTACTATAGACCATGGGACATGGTAGTGATGGGTCTCTTTGTCCTTCTCTGTCTCTTTCTCTCTTCACAAACATAAACAAACAAAAAACAAACATCTGGCTTAGCAGTTGAGCTGCCTGTTGAAATGCTCACACTCTATATCACAGTTGCGAGGTCCTGTCCTGGTTCTCCACCCCGATTCTAGTTTCCTACTAATGTGCACCCTGAGAGGCAGGGTCCCTGTCACCCATGGAGACGACCTGGGTGGAGATCCTGGCTCCTGGCTTTGGCTTGGCTTTTTCATGGATGTTTCATTGTGAGCATCTGGAGGGTGAACAAGCATGTGCTGCCCAACACAGTAGCCACTAACCACATGCTGGCTATTTAATGTAAATGCACTAAGGTGAAATAAAACTAAATTCTGCCCCTCAGTTGTATCAGCCACACTTCAGGCACTCAGAAGCCACATGTCACCAGTGGCTACTGAATTGGACAGCCAGACCCAAGGACATTTCCATCACTGCAAAAGGTTCTGCTGGACAGCACAGTTCTGTAGTGGTCACAGTTCCATCCCCACTATATAGAAGTATTCTGTCCCATTCTTCCCACTAGCCCTGGAATTATTCTATAATATTTGGTAATGTGATGGGTGAAAAGTAATGTCCTTGTTATTTTGTTGTTGCTATTCTTTGATAAAGTTACTAAACTTTAAATGAAGTTATGAGCTTTATTTTTTAATAAAATCACTAGATCTTCATGACAGTTTTATTTTAGAGAGCTAGGCATATAATAAAGTTTATTGTTTTAGTCATCATAGTGTTATAATTAATCACTACAGCATGCTTAGCATAGCATTCTAAAAATACAGGCATGAAAAAATATGGCTAAGTTCACTTGCATTCTGGTTATGTTCTAGACAGTGTTTTGCACAGTGTTTTATGGAGGTTTCATCATTAAGACAAATAACCACCTTATGAGGTGATTATTATTTTTCCCCATATTCAGATGAGGACACTGAGATTACTAATTAGTAAATTCCACCGTGTTAGAGAGCTACCTAGGATGGAGCTGTTATCATTTGAGCCCAGCCATCTGCTCTTAACCTTGAGCCTCTGCTACCTGCCTGTCTGCCTCTCAGTGCTGAGTTGCTCATGCTTGCCAACATATACCCTCTTCTGTCACTGCTTACTCTTTGTGGAGCATCCTCATATCAGACATTTAGATTTTTTTCTCTTCTGTGAACTGTTTCAGCATATCCTTAGCCTAGTTTTACTGTTTTCTTTCTAAAATCACACTGCAGGAACTCTTTGTGATGTATAACTATTTCTAGGAATAATTCACAAGGAAGTGGTAGAAATAGTTTATGGAGTAGTTCTTCACATTGTATAATGGTGAAAATTTTTGAATCAATGTAAATGCCAAGCAGTAGGGGACTAATAGATAAGTCTGATGTGTTTGTAGAGATTGTAAAGATTACTGTGTAATCTTTCAAGTCATGTGATGAAAAAATGTTACTCAACATATTAAAGTACTTATAATATCTAGCATAATGTCAATGCTATGTAAATAATTGTTATTCTGTGACAATAATGACAAGGGGAAAAAACATGTGCATGCTCAATACATATGTAATTTTTGAAAAAAATTTCAATTTCCCTATCAAGATCCTCAACAAGTATTTGTTGCATTCCTGAGTGACTTGTCAGTTATGTGTACCTGGTTTATGTGTAATGATGAATGTACTTTACATCGCACTCTTACTTGTGATGGTTGCTGTAGCTGTGCAGAGGCTTAGCATCTCCCTCTTCCCTATCTGTTGGCTTCCCTCTTGACTCTCCTTTCTGTGATTGCCTCTGGTGCATTGTAAATATTCATCAAATCTTGGGGCTCATAAGGCTTTCAAACTTTACATAAACTGGACATTATCACTATCACAGAAGTGGGGCAGAAGCAGCCTGTGAGGGAATCATAATGCTTTCTGGGAGAATGCATTCTACTGTTGGTAGACACCTGTGCTATGTCCATGTTTTGGCTATTGTGAACATTCTTTTTCCAAGGTTTTTAGACATACATTCCCTTCTCTTAAACAAATACTTAGGAGTGGAATTTGTTCATAAATTATTTGTATGTTTACTTTTTTTTTAAAAAAAGCATTTAATGCAAAGGATTTGACAGGCATTTTTCAAAAGATGAAATTCAAATGGCCAACATATGAAAAAGTGCTCAGGATCACTAGCAGGCAGGGAAATGCAAACGCAAATAAAAGCCACATTGAGGCTTTACCTCACCCCAGTTAGAATGGCTCTCATACAGAAATCAAACAATAAATGCTGGTGAGGTTGTAGGGAAAAAGGTACCCTAATCCACTGTTAGTGGGAATACAAACTAGTACAGCCATTCTGGAAGACAGTATGGAGATTCCTCAGAAAGCTGAAAATAGATCTACCATATGACCCAGCCATCCTACCCCTGGGAATTTATGCAAATGAAATGAAATCAGCATATGAAAGAGTTATCTATCTCCATGTTTATAGCAGCTCAGTTTATAATAGTTAAGATATGGAATTAACCCAGATGTCCATCAACCAATGAAGGGATAAAGAAAATATATATACACTATGGAATACTACTCAGCCATAACAAGAATGAAATCTTGTCTTTTGCAACTAAATGGATGCAACTGGAAACCACTCTACTTGGTGAAATAAACCAGTCTCAGAAAGACAAATATCATGTGTTTTCCCTGATCTATGGTAACTAATAGAGTATACAAAACAGTAAGATATATGAGTGAAGTTGACATTTTGAGATTTGATTATTGTTTATAGCCCTGTCTCTACTGTTACAGAACAGTGTTTTGTTGTTTTTTTGTTCTTTTTGTTAAATTCTTTACTTAGTGGAGGGTTAATCTTATGATTATAAAATAAACTGAAAGTATGTCATTGTAGAAATTAGAAAAGAATAAGAAAGGAAAGAGGGAGGGTAGAAAGTATCTTTATGGTTCTAAATCTTTATATATGAAATATATGAAATTTGTTCACTTATATAAATAAAAAACGTTTTAAAAAAAAGTATTTAAGCGGCCAGCGTTGTAGCATACCAGATTAAGCTTCAACCTGCAATGCCAGCATCCCAAATAGGTGCTGGTTCAAGTCATGGCTGCTCCACTTCTGATCCAGTTCCCTGCTAATGCATCTGGGAAAGCAGTGGAAGATGGCCCAAGTGCTTGGACTCCTGGACCCACATGGGAGACCTGAGACATGGCTCAGGCCATGACATTGCAGCCATTTGGAGAGTGAACCAGTGAATGGAAGATCTCTTGCTATGTCTCTCTCTCTCTGTATATATGACTCTATCCTTCAAATAAATAAGATAAATCTTCTAAAAAATTTTGAAATTTTTATTTATTTATTTCAAAGGCAGAGAGAGGCAGAGATCTCCCATCTGTTGATTCATTTTCCAAGTGTTGGCAATGGCTGGAATTAGATCAGGCAAAGCCAAGAGCCAGGAATTCAGTCCAGGTCTCCAGCTTGTGTGGCAGGGACCCATGTATGTGAGCCATCACCCACTTGCCTCTCAGGGTGCCCATTAGCAGGAAGCTGGAATGGAGAGTGTGCTGGAACCTGAACCCAGGCACTCCATATGGGATGTGGGCATCCAAAATGGTGATTTTACCGCTGCATCAAGTGCCCACCTCTGTTTACTTTTTAAATAAGCTTCGAAATGATTTTTCAATGTGGTTATGCCATGTTTACATAGAGTATACCTAAATTTTTATTTTCTCATTTTTATTGTATTTTCTGAATTTAGAAATTCTGAGACAGAATTTAGTCACCTTTGTGCTACTGGGACTCTTGGTGGATAATTTCTGTCGGTTTTAGAGAAGCCAAAAAAATAAAATTAAGAAGAAAAAGGCAAGAATTTTGACAACAAAAGGATTCCAATAAATATTCTTTATTCTCCTTCTTCTTTGTGAATATGTGTATCATCTCTGAAAGGAGCATTTTAAGAACAGTAGTCAGTTACAGTCCTTTAATCATGGTCTCCGTTTCCAGTGAGAAGAAGAAATCAGGGTCCTTGAAGAGAATTGTTCCCCAATCTCTCTTAACATACATGCACAAGAGAGAGCATAGGCACCGAATACTGTAATGCAAAAAAACTGCAGCTATGGAAAGGGGAAACTCAGCTGCATCTCTGTTCTAGTGTTCATGCATGTGTATCCTGTGTCCATTTCCTTCCTACAGTCTTCTAAAGTACTGAATATTATATTGGACTGTTTCTGTTGTGTTTCAGGCCAAAGAAGCCCTTGAAAATACTGAAGTTCCAGTTGGTTGCCTTATGGTCTACAACAATGAAGTTGTGGGGAAGGGACGAAATGAAGTTAATCAAACTAAAAATGTATGTGAGTCGAATGGTTTAGTTGCAAAGGTACCGTGGTGCTGGTAGGAGTGGTGTGATGAGACAATGCAACTGAACATAACCCTGCAGCTATCGTGGTAGGGTACTTTTCTTCAATATCTCTTTTTATGAGTGCTGGTGTTTTTCTGATTCTAAAAGTGAAATGTTAATTTTTTTCAAATGTGGGAAATTCAGAAAAATTCAATGAAGTAATGAAATTTTATTGGATAGTTTTCTATTACATAGACTTTAACACTTAGCTGAAACCCAGGAGTGGGTTTGATTACATCAGAGTGTCATCACGAATGCAAATCTGATTTGAAAATGCCATGTTTCTACATAATCAGTTTAGCTCAATCTGTTCTTTGGTATCTTTAAACAATATTTTCCTCCTATCGAGTTAGAAAACACCCTCCTTTTATTTCAGAGTGAGATGTTAGAGAATTTTATAAAGGAAGCTATTTATATATCAGATGATTCAGTGGAATAAGGGCTCCAACACCAGCTGTCTCCATAGCTACATGTCATACTCATGTACACACTTTAATAGCTTGTGTGACTTGTGTTGACATCAGATTAGAAAATGCATGGTTTAAGGCAACACTTCACAACAGGGTGTTATAACAAATGTACTTGGGAAATATCATTGATGCCATGTTTATTGATTATGAGGATTATTATAAGTGGACTCATGGTAACTTAGAACTGTCACACCATTCACACAGACCTTGATCTTACCATGTGTTCTCAGGAACCAGAGAACAAGCCCATTTCTTTTTTTTTTTTTTTTTAAAGTATTTATTTGAGAGTTAGAGTTACAGAGAAAGGGAGAGACAGAGAAAGGTCTTCTATCTGTTGGTTCACTCTCCAAATGGCACAATGGCTAAAGCTGGGCCAATCTGTAGCCAGGAGTTAGGAGCTTCTCCTCGGTCTCCCACATGAGTGCAGGGAGAGTGCAGGCCATAGCAGAGAGCTAGACTGAAGAGGAGCAACCAGGACATGACTGGAAGCCCATGTGGAATGCTGGTGCGGCAGGCGGAGGCTTAGCCTACTATGCCACAGCACCAGCTCCACAAGCCTGTCTTGGTACTAGTGCCAAGGTAACTTTGAAGTTCCTCTCTAACATCTGTCAATTAAAAAACAAACCAACCAGGGGCCAGTGCCGTGGCTCAGTAGGTTAATCCTCTGCCTGTGGTGCCAGCATCCCGTATGGGTGCTGGTTCTAGTCCTAGCTGCTCCTCTTCCAGTCCAGCTCTCTGCTGTGGCCCGGGAAAGCAGCAGAAGACGGCCCAAGTGCTTGGGACCCTGCACCCACGTGGGAGACCAGGAAGAAGCACTTGGCTCCTGGCTTCGGATTGGCACAGCTCCAGCCCTTGTGGCCATTTGGGGAGTGAGCCAATGGAAGGAAGACCTTTCTCTCTGTCTCTCCCTCTCACTGTCTGTGACTCTGCCTCTCAAATAAATAAATAAAATCTTTAAAAAAAAAAACAACCAGATTTAGCAAAACAAAAAGTAGGAGCTCAGATTCATAAAGCAGTTATTATGAGAATATTAAAATGTCTGTGAGATGACTAATAAACATAATATAGAAATTAGTAGATATACAGGTCCTTATTTGGGAGTGGATTTCTCTATTTTAAATAATTGCCATGCTTTCAATTTGTATTTTGTGGTTTAGTATAATATTTTTACAGGAGACCTTTGGATGTCCTAATAATTCCTATGTTTGATATTAAGTTATAGAAGACCCTCCAACCCCTGCCAATACCTAGTTTCTTAAATACCTTGAAATTAACCTGGGTTCATTTTGATACAGGTTGAATCTTCCCTATCTAAAATGCTTGGGAGCAGAAATGTTTTTGATTTTTGATTTTTTGTTTTAAAATTTTGGACTATTTGATATACAGAATAAAATATCCTGGGGATAGGACCCCAAGTCTACATATGAAATTCACTTATATTTCATATACAAGTTATACACACATAGCCTGAAAATTTATATGTTATTTTTCTAATATGTTTTGACCACGACTAATCACCTGAGGTTAGATGTGGAATTTTCCATTTATGACATCATGTTAGTGCTTAAAAAGTTTCATATTTTGGAGCATTTTGGATTTCCGATTGTGGTGTTCAATGTGTATTTTGTGTCATCTAGATTACTTCATGCATACAGCATAAAAAGGCTTTTGACTACAAGTGAGGAGACTTGAGTTCCACTTTGGGCTCTGAAATCCCCACTACACCACCACCATCTCCTTGTCCCCACTGTGGGTCTTTAATATATGTAAACTTCACTTTGCTTTTCTTATTGCCCCAGTAAAAGAAGAGATTGATGGAGATGTTTCTTTCTTTTTTAAAGATTTATTTACTTATTTGAAAGAGTTACAGAGAGAGAGAGAGAGAGAAGGAGAGGGAGGGGGAAAGGAGAGAGAGATCTTCCATCTGCTGGTTCTGTCCCCAGATGGCTACAACAACCAGCCCTGGGCCAAGCGAAAGCTATGAGCCAGGAGCTTCTTCCAGGTCTCCCATGTGGGTAGCAGGGGCCCAAGCATTTGGGCCATCTTCCACTGCTTTTCCCAGGCCATTAGCAAGGTGCTGGATTGGAAGTGGAGCAGCTGGGACACAAACTGGCACCCGTATGGGATACTAGCATTTCAAGTGGTTGCTTTATCCTCTAGTCCATACTGCCAGTCCCAGTGAAGATATCTGAGTTCAACCAATATTAAGAGCTTTGGGGAGACTTGATTTAGTAATCTAAATCTGATTTTTAAAAAGCACCTAAAATGGGGAAATTTTTTAAAGCTCTCCAGTTGGTTTTGCTGTACAGTTAGATTTGGAGACTGCTTCCCTAAAATACCTTCCACTCTGAGTTCCTAATTCTGGGATTCATTACATGGCTCCCTTGGCATCTTGGCTTCCAGCTGGTTCTCACTTTGCATGGCATCGTGGGCCCCTGTGGCAGCACTTTCACACCCTGCTCTAGATTACAAGTAAATTAGCAACTTTCTGTTGGCCCCACCAGAGGTTATGCTTGTTGAGGGCAGAGACTTTTCATCCTACACATAATTTATTTAGTACAGTGGCTTGTACATCGCAACCAGTATAAATTATTGATAAATGCTTTTGTCTTGAATAGTGTAAGTAATTATTACAAGGGGATCTATGATTCACATGTTATTTTAGTAACAGAAAGTAAAGAGGAAGAGGGCTACCAAAATATATGTAGGAATAAAGTGATGTGCAGTGTGTGGTCATTTTGGTCAGTGGTGAATCACATATATGATGGTGGCTCCTGAAGCTGACAGATCCCTGTCTGCTGGAGCCATTTTAACACTGTAGCCTAATGCATTACTCATACATTTGTGGTGCTGAAACCTATTGTGCTGTCCGTTGTGTGAATGTATAGCATATAGGATTGTGCACACCAGCTGTATAGAAGGCTGTATCAACTAGGTTTGTGCAAGCACACTCTGATCACATGACACAATCTGCTAACGATGCACTTCTCAGAGTATATCCTATCATTAGTAACATGACTGTGTAGTAGTATGTGGCACTCTGCATCATGGGACTCAGATTGCCTTGTGAGGTGTATATACAAGTGTACCCCAATTTGCATGTGGGAAAACCAAGACTTAGAGAACTTAGGTAACTTCCTTAGGCCACATAGTTACTGATGTCACCATCAGGATACAGGTATAATATGGTCCATTCTTTATGCTGTGCAATTTCTCCTATACTGCACTCCTCGCTAGAGGTATCTGAGACCAATATCAAGTCTCTGCTTCTCCAGACTCTGCCAGTGTGTAAATTCTTAACACCCAAAAATGTAAATGATGACATCCTAGTACACTAAATGTAGATTTGCTGCCAATGAGGTCACTGACAGTTTTGAAAATATACTTAAAACGGGAGTTCATGCTTGTGAAATTTCAGCTTCCCTTAGAATCTTCAGAAACCATCTTTTCACTCTTTTTGAGACTTGCTGTCTTTATAGCATTTTAATTGAGAGTTTCCTCCCAGACATTACGTATTTAACTAAACATATAGCGTCTCAGACAAGGCATCTTTAGCTGTGAGGTTAACTGCATTGAACTGTGGGGATGTGTTGCCAACTGCTAAGGGTATTCTGAAACCTTATTCATTCAAGTGTTATCAAAAATGTTAAGTACCTTCTTTTGTATTTGTTTTTGGTGCATTTACACAAGAGCATTTAGAGGAAGCAAACAATATCATAGTGGACACTTCTCCCTTCTCAGGCTACTCGACATGCAGAAATGGTGGCCATCGACCAGGTCCTAGACTGGTGTCGCCGAAGTGGCAAGAGTTCTGCTGAAGTTTTTGAGCACACCGTGCTGTACGTCACCGTGGAGCCATGCATCATGTGTGCAGCAGCCCTCCGCCTCTTGAGTATCCTTTCCCTCCCTGGGTTCCTGTCTTGTACAGACATCCTGTTCTCTCGTGTTTGAAAACACAGACTTATGAAACATGGTGTAAAATATGATGTCTCTAGACCAAAGAGACAGAAAGATTTCTAAATAGTAAAAATGCCTATTTCTTTTTATATTAATAAATACAGACCTGTTAAGTAAGCTATAAAAATAAAAGATTAGAAAGAACATAAGTTATATGAAGATAAATCATAAATTAGATTAGATTGTGAAAGAGAGCATCTAGGAGAAGTTCTGAAGGATGTGCACCTAAGTTTTGCCTTTGGGTAACAAATTATGAGTGATTTAAATTTTTTTCTATTTATCTGTTGTTCTTTATTTTTTTTCTGTTTTTGTCCATGAACACCTCTCACAATGTCTAAATAATTTTAGTCAAAAGTTAATGAGTAAGATGATGTAAATTATGATACTGTGATTGTAAGCAAGTGGAAAATTAGTAAAGTGACAGCTGTTTGGGATGTATTTAGTGTAGAGTAAGCAAGGTAAACTCTGAGTGCAGTCAGTCTCTGAAGACCTTTGCAAAAATCACTTGAAACTTTAAAAACTCAAATTCACACTTGCACACCTTTATATGTATGAATAACTATCACTTTAAAAATAACACAGCAGTTTTTGAGTATGAGAAAATGTTTAATCTCTATAAAAAAGGTAGATAGGGGCATTTTAGAATTCTTTCTTCATCCTGTGCTTTGAAGTGACTTAGCTTCAGTCTGTTTTGTATTGGGGTATAGGGTATATATTTACTTGGGGAAATAATAAGGAACAACCTGTTATTTTTGAAAGGTGAAAATCCCAGGCCGGTGCTGCGGCTCACTTGGCTAATCCCCCACCTGCGGCACCAGCACCCCGGGTTCTAGTCCCGGTTGGGGCGCTGGATTCTGTCCCAGTTGCCCCTCTTCCAGTCCAGCTCTCTTCTGTGGCCCGAGAAGGCAGTGGAGGATGGCCCAAGTGCTTGGGCCCTGCAACCGCATGGGAGACCAGGAGGAAGCACCTGGCTCCTGGCTTCAGATCGACGCAGCGTGCCGGCCATAGCGACCATTCGGAGGGTGAACCAATGGAAAAAGGAAGACCTTTCTCTCTGTCTCTCTCTCACTGTCTAACTCTGCCTGTCCAAAAAAAAAAAAAAAAAAAAAAAAGTAAAAATCCCTGGATTAAATTTCTACCTCCTTTCTGGCTCCAGCTTTCTAACGATTCTGAAAAAGTGATTTAGAAAAGACCACAGTACAAGTACAGAACCGTGAATGGTAAACGTTATGCTCAGTTTTCATTCTATTTGCAGTTGTTAGATGTTAATTTCTAAGTACTTTTACCTTTTTATATCCTGTAACTGGATTATATGATTTTTAGTGTTAGCCTTAAATCTGATTATTTTGAAGAGTAGCATGAGCTTTTCCCTCCAGAATAGCTAACAAAATTACCCTAAGTTTGTCGTGATACTGACTTGAACTGCATGTTCTATGCAAGACCTTAATTCGGGCCTATAAATCCCACTGGTTGTCTATGGCTGTCAGAATGAACGGTTTGGTGGTTGTGGCTCTGTTCTAAACATTGCCTCTGCTGACTTACCAAATACTGGGAGACCATTTCAGGTAATATGAACTGCGTATGCTTGTTCTTTCTTAGTTTGATAACCTTACCTCTATAGTATGGAACACTTAATGGGCCACCAGTGCCTAACAGCAGATAAAAACAGCTAATGCTTAATGAGCACTTACATTATGCGAAGTATTAGCCAGTGACTTCAGTGATAGTTGGCTGATAAATAATGATCAGTTGATGGGGAGTGTTGTTTGGCTGAGGCTATATGTGTATTCTTTTGAAAATGTACTTCCTCACCAATGACACTAGTATTCCAGAGTATATTGTTATCTGAAATCGGTTCACATAATTATGTATATGCTGCTGTTTTTGTGGGATAGAACATGCATTTGCATTGGCACATTCATTCTCGACTTCCTCATTTCATCAGTGCCTTCCTGGATATCGGGCTGAGGAAGCAGTGGAAATGTTAAAGACCTTCTACAAACAAGAAAATCCAAATGGTCAGTTTCTCCCTTCTGTATAAAAAGTTTCTTCCTTAAAACAAACCTTCAAGAGTCTGACATGAAACTTTTCATTTCATTTTCTCCTTCTCTCTTCCATTATTTTCACAGCGCCCAAATCAAAAGTTCGGAAAAAAGAATGTCAGAAATCTTGAACTTATTCTGATGAAGGACTAATGTCCCAAAGTGACCTGGACAAAATACTTGGACATCATTGAATCAAATGTTTATATATTGTTGTTAATCTCTGGGAAATGGTATATCTCATCACTTACTCTGTTAAGGAAACAAATTGGCACGTTTCGAAAGGCTGACAATTGTAAACATCTGAAAGGACATTTTGAGAAGTGGGAAAATCAACCTTGAGGTTTTAGAAGTCAGCAAACAGTGCCTGCCTTTCCAGCCATAGCATGTACAGTCCAGGGGAGGGCTGACTCTCCAGAGAGTGTGCATCCAGACCCAGTGACGTGGCATGCGTCTGTATTGGAGTGTGCTGTGCCGTGGACATGTTCCCATGACTGTCATTTCAGAGTCTGGTCTCCATTTGCAGCTGCTATGTTCTCCCAAGGAACTGGGAGCCTGTGACTTCTGTACATATCAGGATTATATGGTCCTTGATTTTTTAAAATAAAACATTTGAATAAAATGCATATTTTGTGTCCTTCTTAAATTTTAATTTATTGCTATAATAAACCTACTTATGCCTCCTTTGAATATGTTTATTCTTACACCTAAACACAGAAATGGGACAATTCCTTGTTATTGAGCAACTGTACTATGCTAAGGCCCATTTGTTTCCAGGATCGATGAACAAAACAAAGGATCCTGTCCTTTGTTTATATTGAATATATGGAACATATTTGAATATGTAGAGCTTATATTGTAGTCAAGGGACACAGATAGCAAAAGTAATAGATTATGGTGTTTATTGGAGGGTAATAAGAGTTATAGTAAAACAGAAATGTGCAGGGCAAAGGAGAGGAGTGTGCCAGTTGGAATGCTCATTGTAGAATTAAATAGAATTGCCCATTTCATTCCAGTTATTTATTTTTAAAAATGCAGGTAACAGGGGCAGACATTGTGGCTTAATGGGTAAAGCTGACCTGTGATGTCGGCATCCCATATGGGTGCTAGTTTTGTCCAGTTGATCCAGCTCCCTGCTAATGGCCTGGGAAAGCAGTGAAAGATGGTCCAAGTGCTTGGGCCCCAGCCACCTATGTTGGAGACCTAAAATAAGCTCCTGGCTCCTGGGTTTGGCCTGATCTAGCCCTGGCCATTTCAGCCATCTAGGGGGTGAACCACTGGATGGAAGATCTCTCTCACTCATTCTCTCTCCCTCTCTCTCTGTCTCTCTAACTCTTTCAAATAAATAAACCTTAAAAATACAGATAGTAAATTTTTAAATTTAAAATTTAAAAGTGTAAATACAGAAAAAGGTTTCCACAGTCCACGTGCCAGATGTCCACCTCAGTGACTGTGCCAAGGGTCTAGGTGGTGAAGTGAAGCTTTTAGGTTGGGTGCACTGTGCATGTCTTCCCAGAAGGGGGCCTCGCCGTTCCATGAGAAGCCCAGCTCCTCTGCAGCATTTCTTTGGTGTATTCATTTCCTTGATGGAAAGCATCTGTATTTGTTGGTTCTGCCATTTGAGCGATGTCTTTGACTTGTTTGTTTTGAATTACTTTACAAACTGGAACGTAATTGTGGTGGAAGTATTTTTGTATTGCTGAGAGTAGCAGCTAATCACAGTTATATGCTTCAGAAGATTTATATAATTGCTTGGTTTTGTGCTTGTGTTTTTAGCTGCGTTTGAGAAGTTTTATGGAGAGGAGGCATGATTTCAAATCTGCGATGATGTTACAGGCACCTTTTCAATTTCACCTACTTTAAAAATTATCTTCTCATTAAATTTTAGTGCTCTGACTTGTTCCTTTCTGCATTGGTCATAATTCATTTCTGCTCTTTATGCTTTACTGCATACATACTTCACTGTGTTTATTGTCTTCATATCATTTTCTTGGTACTAACTTGTAGGACAAACAACCTGGAGTCTTTCCTCCTTAAAGTACCACCCAGTAAGCCTGACTGCGCATCTTGTGCTCAGTAGGTTCTTGGTAAACATCTGTTAAATAAAATTGTTGATTGAAATTTGGGAGAAAATGAATAATAAGGAGATTCTGAAGGATAAAGAGCTGAAGCCAAAAATGGTATATGGGTATTTTAGCCTAGAGGCATTCCGCTGAAAGAATCAAGAAAGTAATAAAATGATAAATAGGAAAGGATAGAAAACTTAGCAATGTATATTGGTTCTGTCTTTGCTGGGTTTCAGAGAATGAGTAAGTAATATTTCTTGATTCCCAAGGATGGCTGAATAGTTGAATTTTAGTTTACTACTTGTTGGAATCTCCAGTAATTGGCTCACAGAAGAGTCTGCTCTCAATATTTGGATTTAGGACAGTTCCTTCTATCACTTGGTGGAAAATCTATGGAGCTGCCTGCAGGTCAGCACTTTCGGCATTGACGCAGAACCCTTGTGGATACTGTGGACACTGAGTCTACAGGACTCCGATACCAATTCCAAAGTGGCAGTGAGGAATTGTGGGTCTAGATGTTATGATAAAGTGATCTCACACTCTGGGCACCCCGTTCTCTAGATACTTAGACTTAGCTTAAAATAGTAAGGCATCCTATCTGGTAGTGCTTGCCTACTAGACCAGCTAAGAGACTTGTGTATGAGACAGTTCTGGAAGTTGTGAGAAACAAAAAGAAAAAAGAAAAAAAAGGTTTTAGCATCATGGCCCTGTTAAGAGAAATTAGGGGGAAGGGATTATTCTAAGCTGCTGGCAGATCTAATGCTTGCTGGTCTGCTGGTCTTTGCCACAAACTTGCTGAGAATGGGTGGTGTGTAATGCTTTGGCAGGCTTCAATCACTGATAAAAGATCATGTTAAAATATCTTTGTGCTTCCTTGTTACTTGGCACAAGCATCTCTTCCTGTGTTGTATTTAGAATAACAGAAAAAGAAAATACATAGCCAAGAGCACCACTGTAGATGAGAACTGTTAATTTTTTATAAAATCTTATCTGAAAAATTGAAACTATCATATGTCGCAGTACTTTACCCTGAAATTTTCATTATTTCATAATAATAAGATATTCTCTTATCTAATCACAGAACAGGTGTTGATTTTAGTAAATTTAACATTGATACACTTCATTGGCTCTACCATTTGCATTCTCAGTTTTGTTAGCTGACTCAACAATGTCCTTTAGAAAATTTCTCCCATCCCACCACCCTTGGCCCACAATCCCAGATCCATTCTAGGGTCAAGTGTTGCAACTGATTGCCTTCTATCTTTAGTTACTTCTTCTTCTTCTTCTTTTTTTTTTTGACAGGCATAATGGACAGTGAGAGAGAAAGAGAGAGAAAGGTCTTCCTTTGCCGTTGGTTCACCCCCCAATGGTCACTGTGGCCGGCGCACTGCGCTGATCCGAAGCCAGGAGCCAGGTGCTTCTCCTGGTCTCCCATGTGTGTACAGGGCCCAAGCACTTGGGCCATCCTCCACTGCACTCCTGGGCCACAACAGAGAGCTGGACTGGAAGAGGGGCAACTGGGACAGAATCCGGCGCCCAGACCAGGACTAGAACCTGGGGTGCCGGCACCGCAAGTGGAGGATTAGCCTAATGAGCTGCGGCACTGGCCATAGTTACTTTTAATCTATAATATTTCCATAGCTCCCATTTTTTGTCTTTTATGACACTGATTTTTTATTTTTAAATACCTTTAGTTATATAAGCTGAACAAATTTCATGTATTTCATACATACAGATTTATGAGCATAGTGATACTTAACACTCTACTCTCCTGGCTACAATCCCACCCTCCCTTCTGCTTCCTTTCTTATTCTTTCTTTTAATTTTTACAATTGACATACTTTATTTTCTAATCATAAGCTTAGCCGTCCACTAAGTAATTCAACTAAAAGTATGAAGAAAAAAACACTGTTCCTCAACAGTAGAGATAAGGGCTGCAAACAATAATTCTCAAAATGTCAGTTTTGTTCATATGCTTTTTTCTTGTACTCTATTAGTTACTGCAGATCAGGGAAAACATGTTATTTGTCTTTTGGGAGTGGCTATTTCACTAAGTATAATGGTTTCCAGGTGTATCCATTTTGTTGCAAAAGACAGGATTTCATTTTTTTTAATTTACACCTGAGTAGTATTACATAGTGTATATATACCACATTTTGTTTATCCAGTCATTGGTTGATGGGCATCTGGGTTGATTTCATATCTTAGCTTTTGTGAATTGAGCTGCAATAAACATGTGGGTACATATAACACATGCTGATTTCATTTATTTTGAGTAAGTTCCCAGGAGTGGGATGGCTGTGTTATATGGTAGATACATTTTAAGCTTTCTGAGGAATCTCCATACTGTCTTCCACAATGGCTGTATTAGTTTATATTCCCACCAACGATGGAATAGGGTACCTTTTCCCCCACGTCCTCTGTTGCATTTGTTGTTTGTTGATTTCTGTATACGAGCCATTTTAACTGGGGTGAAACTTCCTTGTGGATTTTATTTGTATTTCCCTGATGGCTAGTGATCCTGAGCATCTTTTCATGTGTCTGTTTGCCATTTGTATTTCATCCTTTGAAAAGTACCTGTTCATGTCCTTTCTTAATTAGATTGTTTGTTTTGTTGTTGTTGAGTTTCTTGAGCTCTTTTTAGATTCTGGATATTAGTCCTTTACCTGTTGCATAGTTTGCAAATATTTTCTCCCATTCTGTGTTGGTCGCCTCCTCATTTTGCTGTTTTCTTTGCAATGCAGAAGCGTCTTAGCTTGATTTAATCCCATTAAACTGATTTTGCTTTGATTGCCTGTACTTGTGGTTTTTTTTTTTTACAAGCAGTCTTTGCCTATTCCAATGTCTTACAGAGTTTCCCCAAGGTTCTCCTGTAGTAATTTGATGGTATCAGGTCATAGACTTAGATACTTAATCCATTTTGAGTTGATTTTCCTATAAGATGTAAGGTAGGGGTCTTGTTTCATACTTCTGGATGCAGAGATCCAATTTTCCCAGCATCACTTGTTGAAGAGGCTGTCCTTTCTGCAGGGACTGATTTTAGTTCCTTTGTCAAAGATCAGCTGGTTGTAAATGTGTACATTGATATCTGTGGTTTCTATCCTGTTCCATTGGTCTACGTTTCTATTTTTGTGCCAGTACCAGGCTGTTTTGATTATAACTGCCCTGTAATATGTCTTGAAATCTGGTATTGTGATGCCTCCATCTTTGTGACGTTGATAATTTTTAGTAGTATGATTGTTCTCACTCTATCTGTCATCTATCTATCTATCTATCTATCTGTTTTTGAGATAGAGTTCTCATTTTGAGTTTTCTTATGATTAGATTTTGGATATGCAGGGTCTTACGTTTGGAGGCACACAAACACCATCTGTCTCCTGTGGTGATGTTAATTTTGGTCACCTGATTTCTTTACTGTGTAGTAATTTGTTTTCCTCCATTGCAATGAATCTGCAGTCTGTGAAGAGAAGATCTGTTGTGTTTTTAAAAGAAAATGTATTTGACCATGATGGAAAGGAGGGGAGGAAAATTATGCATTTCAAAGCAGCTGTTAAATTCTT